CTGGAGCATACAACGGCCGAAACGTTGTGATAAATATGGCAACAAAGATGAGGACAATAGTCCTAATAATGTTTGGCAGAGAGTGTGTGTTCAAAAGAACTATTTGGGGATTTGTTTGACTGTAAGTCCTATGTGAACGTGTGGTTAGGCATGTCAGGTTCAATGGGGGATGCAAGGTTGTATCCTTCTGAAGGAGACATATTTTTCTGATAAGATTACTTGAATATTCAGACTGGTAGATGTAGTTGGATAAAAAATACTCTTTAATTAAAAAGCAGAGCATCGACTTGAATATGAGTATCCATCAAGAATAATATTTAAACAAAATAAATTATATATATATATATATATATATATATATATATATATAAAAGAAAGTTGTAGTGGTTCCAATGGGAGAAAAGTATGTATATTAAAAAGAAGAGAAGAGAGGTGCCGCAAACGTTTTTGGTTGTAATGTGAATTCACAAACCCACACCAATACCTTCATTTCAAGAGCAATCACCCAAAAAGCTGCCTAAAATCCATCCCCTATTCCCTAGCATGTAGAATTTGTACAATAGTGACTGATAAACACCTTCGAAAAATGTGCTTAGAAGAACTACATAAAACTCTCAAAAAATGAGGCTACCCCACAACACTAATAAACAAAGGTTTTGAACTCGTGAAAAAAATTCCTCTAGACCAACTTAGAAATAAAAAGAAACGTAACGTCGAACAAACTCTAGCATGTCTCAACATACAACAAAAACAATCCAGAAATATTCACAGAAATTACAAAAAATCTAGACCTACTTAGCAAGAATAATAAACTGAATAATATACTAAAAACAACCAAAATAATTAAAAGCAAATACCAATCTAAAAACCTAAAACACATATTAACCTCATCTAAATTTAACCAACACACAATACAGGGAGTCACAAAATGCAACAAAAAAAGATGTGGGGTTTGTGACATCATTATAGAAGGAAATTCCTACACTTTTGAAAACCCAAAAAAAACATTCATAATAAATAAAAACTTAAACTGCCTCTCCAAAAATGTAATTTATGTACTTAAATGCACAAAATGTAAGTCATATATAGGCATCAGCCAACAATTGAACAACAGGGTCTCCCTACACAAAAGCCATATAAAATTGCCAGACAACATAAAACTTTTTGTATCACAACACATCTTTAAATGTAACCAGGGTAAATTTAATATCATGCCGATATATCAAACAGACAATAAAAACTTTATAAACAAATTAAAACCTGAACTAAATAGATCATAACCCCACACGCAAAAGTACACAACATGCACACAAGGTGACCAAATACAGTGATCAAATCACTCACATACATGAGCACACACTCACATACGGGTATCTGTGAGACACGAAAATATATATATATATGTACACATGTATATATATATATACGCATGTTGACAAAACAGGGGAACTACTCACGAGCACGCACACAAACCCTACACAACTTAGGAAGTATGTGTGTATGTATGTACGTATATATGTGTATGTGTGTGTGTATACTGGTTCCATGTAACTTGGGAAGCATGTGTATGTATGTGTGTGTATATACTGATTCCTTGTGGTGGGACGGTGTGTATGTGCGTATGTGTATGTGTACAAATGAATTTACTATTTCCTCATAGTAAGACAATATATGTATGGAGGGGGAATATACGCACACATATATACACACATGCGTTCAGAAACACACAAAAATGGAAACAGATCCAAGAACACATAGGGGTCAGTAAAACATTAAAAGATAAAATGCCGATAAGTAATTCGTCATTTTAATTTGTACCAACCTTAATTGTTTTATGACCCTTGGCAGAAATTCTTCATTGCCAATTCAAGAAAGACATTCAGATTACTAACACAAAAACAGAGAATGTCTCATATCGAGAATATTTAACATTGAAAAACATAAGGAAAAAATCAATTATTTTTAATAATATGTGGAAATCTCTGCTTTTACCTGAAGACGGTCGTGAGACCAGAAACACGTTTAGTAAAATTATGGAAAATAAAGCATAATATTTTTTAAAAAAAAAAATCCACATTACAACCAAAAACTTTTGTGGCACCTCTCTTCTCTTCTTTTTAATATATATATATATATATATATATATAATTAACACAAATACAAATTGTGTTACTTAGCTGATTGGTGTTACCTTCAGCATCCTGACTCCAGCAACCATTCTGTCCACTCGTCTTTGGGTATCAGCAATTGATAATTTATGTTTTTTGTTTTCCTTTTATATATGCACTTCACTTTTCTTTGGGGCAAGGTTGATTTAATTTTTCATAGTGTGTGTGATTGTGTTTGTGACGCATATATATATTTTATTTACTCTATTTGGTTTTCAATTTTTTTTATCGTTGTATATCAGTTATAGCTATTTTCTCAATTAATTTTTGGATTGAGTGTTGTAGTCTATTCTAACAGTTATTGGTTTGTTAATTTGTTTATTGTTTACTTTATTTATTTGGATTGATTTAATTTTACTTGGATTTTATGTATTTATTTTTATTTGTTCTATTTCGGGAGTGGTTTGTTAATTTATTATTTGCTTGGGTTAATTTATTATATTTGTTTTTTACATTATTTTGTTTATTTCTATTTATTCTTTTCAGTTTTCAATTTTTAAATAATGTAGTAAAAATTTGTTTTCATGTCTGCATTTTGAGATGAGCTCAGATTGTTTATTTAGTAATTTATTTTGGTCTTGGAAGGTAATAATAACTATTTTTAACTCCAGGAAAAGTATGCAGGTTTTGGATTGATTGTTGCAGGCTGATGATCGTTTCCTTATTTTCCATGATATTTTTGGCGTGATTTGCATTTTGTTTTTAATTTCCCAGATATACTTAAAAAGCATTGTGCTCTTCGCGTATTTACATTTTTGAAAAAGATTTTGTGTGCATAGTTACTTTGATTTCAGAGTCCTTCAGTTACTCCTATATATATTTTTTCTTCATTATCTGGTGATTTTACAGTAGCTTGGTATATTAGGTTGTTTGTCAGCAATTACTGTTTAAGGGACATTCATTCTTTTTTTCTACAGTTACACATAGGTTTAATTTGTTCGAGTGGTTTGTTGATAGTTTTCCTGTTGTGTTTTTTTATTATTTGTGCCATGTTCTTGGTGCAACTGTAGCTGATTTTTACAATGTTTTTATTGAGTATTTTGTGTAGAGTTCTTGATTCCGAGAAGTGTTTGTTTAAGAGTTTGAAGAATATTTTACCTACATTTGTTTTTACGTTTTTGCTGTATGGTGGGTTGAACCATATGATATTTCTCTTCCTTTTTTGTGCTCTGTGGTGAGTATGTGAGTGCTGCCAAGAATCCACTATCTTTTAGGGCTGTTTTGTAGTTTTTCTTAGCTTCATTAAATATGGTTTCATTGGAAGAATTGTTGGTAAGCCTGTGGTTAATCAATTTTGGTATGTTTGATTATTGAAGGTGGGTTAATTTATTATACTTGTTTTTTATTTTCATTTATTATTTTATATATTTATTTATTCTTTTCGGTTTTTGATGTTTTATTAACATAGTAAAAAAATTGGGGGGGATTTGTTTAGGTCACTTATTTAATAATTTGTTTTGGTCTGGGAAGATAAAGCTATCTGTTCGTCCACAATGCACCACTGACCCATATATATAAATAGTCGAGAAAAAAACCAACACTTGCAGCCTGATGATTGCGTCTAGCATGACGCATCTTGTCGCCTCTGAGTGTTGACTTCAATGTTCACTTTTATATTTACGTATGCTCTATCTCTGATATTGAGCACTTTATCCCATAAATAGAGCATACTTTAAAACTATATATATATATATATATATATGGGCTGTTGGCTCCTATGCCTTTTGACAGGTTTTGTTCTATTGTCCTGTGGGGTAACATGCCATCCTCTTCACCAGTAGAAAAGCTAGTGTGGGAGCTGGTTTTGGTATGATGCAGTATGATGTACTGGGTTACATCTTACCAGTAACAGGCCTAAGCCTGACATGATTTGCAATATTCTAAATCTTCATCTCACAAAGTAGTGATAAAAATGAAAAAAATCTCCACTTTGTACCTTTGACAAAATTCAAAATTGTTCATGCAGTTTTCTAAGGGATCACTTATTTTCATAGCGGATCACTTATTTTCCACTCTATAGCCTCTTTCCCACAGATGCAATCTTGCTACTCTAATGCGACTTCCATAGCAAATATTCAAATGAACTCTTTTTTAGTTCCAACAGCTAGGACTTGCCATACTATGACCACGGAGTTGGATCTCATTTCCTCCATATTCCATTTGTAAGGAGGAAGTTCCATTCAGCTTTTTCCAGAGAATTGCTACTTTGTGGAACATATTCCTGCATTGATTCTTCCATGAACACTATAATCTTAACTATTCTGAGATGAGGTATTGTAACTATTAACACTATTTATACTGTTTGGACTGTTGTCATCATCTTTATTGTCATATTCATGACATTTTGCCACTGTATGCTCCAGCTTTCTTCAGGTGATAAACGGAATTTCTGACCAAAGCAGAGGTGAATAAAAACTTGAAGAGTTGAGTTACTAAAAGAGAAATAATTGAAACTGAGATATCCAGAAAAGATCATGGCATGTTTTGGTTTGAAATTTAAAGAAGGCCAGAGCATACAAAGGCTGAAACATTGAAACTATGACAAAAAAGATGATGAAAACAGTCTGAACAATGTAAATAAAGTAAATAGATACAATCTTAATTTCTTCAAGTCAAGGGTCAATTGCTATCTATCATTCTTATCCTCATAATCTTCATGTCTTTCTACCTCCTCTTATACACTTCATTCAGTAACCTTCTACCTTGAGTGGCTCTTGAATCTTGCATTGGATGAACTTTAGCATATACAAAAAAAATTATTTGTTTTTAGCACTTTAAAATCATCTCAAGCTATAAAATATATATAATAAAGTAAAAGCAAAATTTTCTCACCTGAAAGAATATCTTTTTTGAGTCAGTTCTGTTTTAAATGTGATTAAATTAGATATAGTTGATCTGTCATGACGAAAAAGGCCAAGATAGGCAGAATCTTTAGTGCGGACACACATAAAAGGGATTTGTTCGGGTGAAGTTGAATCACACATCCATGGAGGTGGTGGTAGCTGCTGGGCCCCTTGATAACCAGGGATGCATTTACTAAAAATATCAACATCAGAAGGGCTGCAATCCTTTATGGGAGAAAATAAAAAATAAATTTTTATTTAAGAGATGAGGTTTGCAGGCAATCAACTCTTGAGTTAAAATATTAAAAGAATATGGATAAAAGTTTTCACAGAACAAAATAACAGGATTGTAAATTAGGTCCCAGGGAGTTATTAAGGTTACAATTTAAACTATTTTAAATTCTGAAAATCAGTTGATCTTTGTAATTTGTTTTAAAATGACGTTTGAGAATAATATTTAAATTGAAATAGTTAATTCCTAACTGATAATTTCATAATCGATCACATTATATATACACACTATTTTTTCTTATATGTGCATAATACAAGAATCATGAATGAAGATTAAAGGCACAAAGCAGTAGGGAACAGGGGTCATATTATACACAAGTACGTGTTTTCAGATATTTTTTACTTGGCTTTTATTTTTTACTTGGCTTTTATTTTTGAAATAGCAAGATTGCAAATACACTCAACAAAATAGATGAGAAAACACATAGTAGGCAGGTGTTGATAACACTTGTTTAGTTTATAAAAGGTATTTGGTTTGCCATGTTTTGATAACATTAATGTTACAACAAAGCCCTAATTATTGTATAAATTATGTAGTATTTTGATTTTTTTCCTGTTTGAAAAATGAGGTGATAATTTCCACAATGTAAGGTTGCTGCTTGATATTCCTCCATTTGTTGACACAAAGTATCTAGTTTGAAATCTTCAACAATTTAAGAAAAATAATACAAAATAGATATGTAAATAAGCCCGACATAATTATATTGGTATATAAATAGTGTAAAGTGGTACTTGTAATTTTAAATCGCAAAATATTACGTTAATTTACATGCATATGAAATTGATATTTTAATGGATAATATGGTACAACTTTACATATAAACATTTATATAGGGATATCTCTACTACAGGATCATGTTATACTCATATTCTCTGTTTGTAGCTTCAGAAATATGGGCTTGTATTACACTCATGTATTAGAAAAAGAAAATATGCTATATATGGTGGGATGTCAACTTGTGACTGAGTACAATCACCTTTTACAATATTTTAGTGCTCCTTAAGCATTTCTTGATTTTCTCTTAAGTGACTTTTGAGTTCTGTAAGATAAGCATACCCTGTCACAGATCTCAATAACATTCACCCAATTCCAGCAATCTCAAAAGAAAATATACTCAAGTCTTGTGACTTCAATATGTGTCCTATTGAAATTATGAGTGAAAATAATAATTATCTAATTTTTTATTTGTTTATGACTCAAGGGAGATGATTCTAATTGTATTAACTGTTAATTAGAGAGTAGCAGATGGCATTTACTTGGAAATAATTCTATAAATGCAAACCTGGCACTAGAAATATGAAAATAAACTGTTGGGAATTTTTTACTTGCAGTTGGAATATGTGTACCTGTGCCTCTAGCCAGACTTCCATTTACATCATGGAACTGTTGTGCATGTCTCAAGTGGGGTGATAAGAGGTTGTCAAGGAAATGAATGATGCTCTGTTGTATTTAGTGATGAGAGTAGATTCTAGATTCTAGATTCATAAAAGTGATGGCTATTTACACTATTTACATTCTTCAAACTGGCTACTGCACTGGTGAACTTGGAGAGTTGAGTTAAAGAGAGATAGCTGAGACATCTGGAAGAGGCATGGCACGTGGAACTAGAACACTCTACTCTCTCTAAATCTGAAATTTTGAACTGAACCCTTTATTTTGTCCACCAGAGGACAAAATAAAGGGTTCAGTTCAAAATTTCAATCACCTGAAGAAGGCCAGAGCATACAACAGTTGAAACGTCGTGAATATGGCCAAAAAGATGACAACAGTTTCAGTAAATAGTGTAAATAATTACAATACGTCATCTCAGAAATATAGTCAGATATTAAAGTGAAGGTTGTTTGCATGTACAATGTAGACCTGGAGAGTGACATATTCCAATGAATAGAGGCCCACACCTGGCATCATGGTGGTAAAACTCTTTGCTCATCTTTGGTGCTTGTGGCAGGTATGAAAGCATCCATGACGACTTTAAGCTAGGAAGAAACCTCAGTGGTGCAATTTTCAATTGGGATGTTAAAGATTGTCAACCCAAGGAGCATCATGAATAAAATCACAGGGTGAGTCCCAATCAGAATGAATAGGGTGTTTCTGTTTATTGGGCAGTGTTGTGAAGCTCAGCAAGAGTGAGGAGAGGAGGTGAGAAATAAATCGAGAAGCTTATTGCTTGGTTTTACTAGGGAAACAAGTAGGGAAGTCCACAATTTGAGTAAATGATTGGGCAATGGAAAAATTTAATGTCTGAATACTGGCAACATCAGTATATTTAGAATCTTTCATCCATGTGCCATGGTAAGTGTTAAAGTCAGCGAAGACAAAGATGTTCACAAATGGATGGAGAGAAAGTGCCTTTTCTATACTGTCAGCTATTATGCCTAATATACTGCAGTCCTGGAATGATGGGGAGCAATAAAGGAAAAAGAATTTAGTAATGAAAGATGGAAGCACATAAAAGAGTAGTCAGTGGCAATTGAGAGACAATTCCCTGGCCATCAGAACATTATTCTGGATGTAGATGTCAAGGCCATGCATGCGAATGCTGGAATCTTTTTGACAAAGGGGAAGATAGCATGGAACCAAGAATTCATTAGTAAGAATTTAAGTTCAACCCTCTCCCCACTGTCCAGAACTGTTTAGACTAACCTGAATCTTGCAATTATATATATATATATATATATATATATATATATATATATATAATACATAAAAAGTTAATGGTCAGAGTTGAATCAGACCAGGAAACAGTAGTATTAAAAATTACTCAATACATGTGTGAAAAAATAAAATAAAAGTAAAAATAACATATAGAGCTTTTAACTTTAAAAATCAGAAGCTTGGTTGAATCTGCTACCTTGTTTTCAAACCAAAGTAGAAACTGATCTCCTGATTTTTAAAATATATATGTATATATATATTATTTGAAGAGTGGCATTTATTGGGGCTGACTTTTTATTTCTGGTAAAAGAATAGGGAAGGTAGATCGCCATTAGAAAGAGCCTTCACCACTGACACCCCCACCTCCACATATACATATAAATACATATATACATACATGCATTTATATACAGGGACATATAATTGAAACATGCAGCTTAGGTTAAACAATACTGGCCAGTAGGTGTAGGGCTTAATTATGTTCCAATTTTTAAAATATGGGTGACCATACAAGACATTATCAGAAAATAAGATCAATGACTATATCAAATTTAAAGCCAATATTCTTAAAATTAGATTATGGAGATTATTTCCAACATTTTTAAAATTATGGAGTACTTAAAAGTGATATAAAAAAAGCATAACCTGTCATTTTCTCAAATTATGTTTTAACAGATAAAGTCTCTGTAGAATAATAATAAACATATCAACACCTGGTAAATCACTTGACAGGTGCTTCTGAAGCACTTGTTGAGAGATTTAAGAACCTTGTGAAGCACTTAATCACTGCTACTATTTGTTTTAAAAATCCATTTCTCTGTTATTTTCAGCTTAAAGTAAATAAATCAGATTAATTAAACTTTAAAACAGCAAATAATCCTCAAATAAAGTTTCAGAGAAGTATATTTTATTTTTCAAAGATTTTTTTAATAAAGGAAAATTCATTGAAATGACAGATGGCTAAAAAAGGTCACTAATCAGCTATTTTTAGACCCCAAAAATGAATTGACTCCAACCAATATAATTTCTGTTTGAAATATACTACAGAGTATTTTGCTTACTGGAAATAGTAAATTTAATCCTTTAGCTTTTAATTAAAGCTAAAATGAAAGCTTCAAAAAAGATTTTTCATTTATGAACATTTATTTTAAACCTTAGGTATAACGAATTAGTGGAGGTACCTACAATATAATCTTTCCATTAAAACAACTATATTTTTGGTGGTGGTGGTGGGGGTTAAAGGTTTCTCAAGACCAGATACTGTTATCACTCTTTCCATTATTGATGAGAGTTTCCTTCCTAACCTTTTGTTTAAGTTAGTGTGGAATTTCAACATCTTATGTCATTGTTTTCTCTTGGCATTGCATGTGATATTCATTGTAGTTGTTGCTGTTGTTGAAACTGAAAACTTCTAGTCCTGAGCCTGCATGTTGGTGGTGAATATAGACAACATCACCATCATCATAAAGGAAGCAATCAGGTTAACTCTGCATCTGGTTTCTTTGGTAAAGTGTGAAATTGAGTACAAGGCCTACTTTTGCATAGTACTACAATACAAACAATATAACTTTATTAAAAATATTCTAACTCAATTTCAAATAAAGTTTTTGAGATTGACTGATTTGGATAGAAGTAACTGTCTGATAACATTATCTATGATAAAATAAAATAGATTCCTCTGTAGAACTTAATGAAGCTGTGCCTATAGCAAACAAATTGCATTTTTCTTCAAACCAGATGTGCAAAATAGATTCTTAATTGAGATGTAAATCTTTGTGTCTCGACTTAAATAACTTAATTCACCAATTCTGACTTGACAATATCAGGTTATTAACAGTGACAGGTTATAATTCCTAAAATTTGCAGAAAAAAAAATGCCCCCAAAATCAGTTTCATATTACCAATTTTGCTGTCTGTAATAATTCTTCTTCCAATTCAGCTTCTTTTTTTTCTCCATCCATTTTCAGCTTTGTCTTTTATTGACAGATTTAGAGATTCTTTGGAATGGAAGAATCTATTTGCCTGCTGCTTTCTCTAGCCTGGTACCAAATAGAAAGGCTAATCATGGCTTAAAATAGTTCCTTACGATTTTTTAAAAATTCTTTTTCATCTCGTTTAAGTCTCATTATCACCACATATTTGAGTGATGATTTTTAGCTTTGCAAGCAAACACCTAAAAGAGCTGTTTTTTTCTTTTCTTTTTGTCAATATCTAATGAAACTGAAATTAATGACTGGGAAAAAAAAGATGAACTCAAATACAACTCATTGAAATATGAGAAAGTTTGCAACATATTTTATACTATTGTTTAAAGAATAACATAAACTATGTTTTGACATTTGCAAAGGAAAAATAGAATCTAAAGAAATATTTGGTTTGATGGTTTCCAAACCAATTGTCACAGCTGAAATGTGTGTCATGAGGCTCCTAAGGGTCATGGGAATGTTTCAGAAAAAATATGAAAATATGTTAAAAGCAATAAAATTGTGTGTATATATTTATATTAAAATTTAGGAATTAAAAAAATTATGCTTTCTGTAGAATAAATGTAAATTAAATGACAGAACTGCCCAACAAACAGAATTCACAAAGTTTGGAATAAACATAACAAGAAAAAGAAAATGATCAGGAGAAAAAGTAATATAAAGCAAGCAAACAATATATGCAAGGCAAATTAACAGTAATAAGGCAAAACGTTCACAAACTAAGAATTGGGGTTGAAACACAAGAGCAAATTCAGACAAGTGAACGTAGCATTCTGATTTCAAGACAAGACAGACCAGGACTGAGTCATATGAAACTGAGATCTGGCCTGTTTTATTAGCTAGGAAGAAATATCATCATGCATTTGTGTGCTTCTGCATGTAAATTAGGGGCTAGGGGTGTTTTGCAGTTGTTTCCTTGCAGGATTGGAACCAACCTTCCACCTTGTGTGTCTCCAGGCCTCAAAACATTCTGTGTTTCAGGGTTGTGATAAAAACAAATTTGGGAAATGCAGGATTAGTTCATTGGCCTTTTTTTGACAAGCCATTTTATGGTAACTCATCAAAATGCTTGATACACACAAATAATAACATTAAAGCCTAAAACACTTGTAGGGAATGAATATTTAATAAACAATCAAGAAAACTGGTTTAACTTTAATATTTTGATGTTATTCTAAAAGTACATTTAGCACATGTTTTTTTAACAAGTATTTAAATGAACAAATGAGTAGAGACTAGGAGGAATGTTAAGGGAGCAATTGCTGCTTAAAGATACAAAGAAGCTGTGGAGAGCCCTGGTCGACCATAAAGCTTTTGGCCATATCACATTGAAGCACTGATTCCCATACAATCACCAAAATTAAGCAATGTTGATCCTGGTCAGTACCTAGATGGGTGACTGCTTGGGAATACCATGTACTGCAAGCTTGGATGTGCAGGTGGTGCAATGGATAAAGGCTAAGGAATTGTTAATTGGGTATCTGAGTTCCAGTTGAATTTGTTATATTCACTTATATGCAAATACCCTTGGGAAAGGTAAGAATTAACCTCTTCTCCTCCAATCTATGGGTTAATTAGTAAGACTTGTATCACTAAACCATAATTACCTCCCAAAAAATTTGATAAGTCATAGAAAACAAATTAATCAATCAATATATGATCACCCACATCCTGAAAGATACACACACCCACATACATATATGCATACACACAAGATAGTACTGAAAAGTTCTAAACCTAACCAAGAACAGATTCTATGTCCAAAATTCTGATGTTAGGTAATAGGTCAGATTTTTGAAAGTGAGTCAGTGCAAGCTCTGTACACACAAATACAGTTCTTATTATTATAATTATAAGATATTTTTTATAGCTACACATATTTAAGTTGCTATTCCTGCTTTTAATTTTTTTAAAATAGTAAAATTAATATCAACTGGCCTAGTCATATTAAAGGAAAGTTGTGCCTCCTGACAGGAATGGAACCTGTACCCCTTTTGCCATCATGAAAACCACTCCTATAGTGGAAATGTGCCGCTACCAATTTGGCCACAGGAGACCATCATGAGAAGAGTAAAGTTTGAACTAAATATTTAAGGAATGCACATCTCTCACTGGCACATCTGTGAATCTATATCCACTAGATTCATTTCTATACCCAAAACAAAATTTAATATGCATTAATGTACGAATACACATACATAAATATATATATATACATATTTACACACAGACACACATATATTCACATAATACATATGAAAAATATATATAAATGTATATATGCATTAATCTATACATGTGTTTCTATGCATAACTGCATTGTGTAATTCAGTGGGCGGATATGCCTCAAATATTCACAAATAGATATAATGAGGTAGCGTTGATGAATAGATATGAACAAATGAAAAAGTGAAAAAATCTCAGTTGCTGTCGGCCATAGCAGAAAAGGAAGCCAAGCCAAATGTTATTGCTTCTACAAATGAAACTTTTCAATCATATCAAGAAGGAAAGAAAGAGGATATATTAATTAATAAGAATTGGAAAAAATAGATTACATAAATAGATGTCCAGATTACATGATGGCCAACAGTTTTGTACTTGGTTGATTGGTTAGTAAGGAAACCGTTATTGTCTAAATTTCTAGTTTCATTTTCATTTTATTATTTTTCTTTCTTTTCTTATTTTAAAATCAAATCAGCATTACTAAAGTCAGCTACAGTATTGAGAAGAGTGCTGGATTACTAGGAAATTTGCTACCCCTTAATTACCAGTAAAAGATACCAGTTACTACAGTTTTTCATTCAAAGAGTACAAAACAATAATAGATGAAACTGTCAGTGATATACTAAATTAAATGTGATGAGAAAGGATGAAAAAAATAGAGATAACTGGGTTGGAATAATTATCCAATGAGAACTGTGCAAATGACAGGGTCGTGACTATGCAAAGCAATGGCATACACAGAAACTAAAAGCTGCCCAAGAAAATAGAAAAGTAAAATTTTAGAGGACTTTGAAATTCAAAGGGATGACCCAATACAAGCTTGAATTCAAACTTAGTTTACCAATTCAATTTTCTGTGCTTAAAAATATCCATAATTGTTTTAAAATTACTTTGTTTATGTTTCAATTATGAAAATAAAGTTAGCAGATATAACTTTGAAAGGTCACAATGGAAGATGTGAATTTCTTAGAGTAATTGAGCCTTGATTTGCTGGAATGGCTTCCCATGGCCTAATGGTAAGGCACACCTAGGTTAAAAATTGTTTCCTTGTGTAATTGAAGAAGAAAAGAGACAAAAGAAAGAAAGAATCTTTTCTTATTTATCCAGTGTCAGATTTAAAAAAAATTCATTATTTCCTAAGAAACACATATGTACATATGTGTATGCAAATATACCCACCACTGCCAATGTATAAATTTGTAATGATTCATAAATAAGAAGCAGGAGTTGCATCCTCCGTCTTGTTAGGTTATATCAAAAGGAAGGGAAGTTGAATTCCTATAATGCACTAGAAACACAGTTTTGGTGCAAAAATACTAAGTCTCTTTGTCTGCCAACTGTTGGACCAGAAAGACATGTTTTCTCAAATAAGCTCATAAGAACGACGTCTATTCAGACAGATAAGCCTAATGCCATTCCTTCCTTGGCATTAATAGATACAAATATATATATATATATATATATATATATATATATATATATTGTGAATAATATGAATCAATTATGTAAGCAATTGTATGTTTAATCAAAAATCAATCATTTAATAAATATGTTATATCCTGATGCATACACACCAAAAACTGTTCATATTTCATTTCATGTTTTCATGTAATGTTGCACACACATATTAATTTAACATCTTGTGGATAGATAATAATCCCAGGTAAAAATAACAAAAAAAAAATAATGAGGCCTCATATCATTCACACTCCAACAATAAATTCATATGCAAATACAAATTTTAAAACTATGTTGCAATAGTTTTCTCTATAAAAAGTGTTAAGAAATCAATTTGGGTAATTCAAATTTTCTGAAATGTTATGGGGGTCAGATAGGATACAGTTACCATGAGCCTTGCCATCATGTCTCTTAATACAGTGATAGCTCAATTTGAGTCATTTCAAGTTATTTTCAAAGATACGTCGGTTTTATATGGAAAAATAAAACTCACGTTAGGTCGTTTTACTCGAGTTTACGTTGACCGTTAAAAATATAAGATATGCCAAAACACTAAAATAACAATAAACACATAACATGATATTTAAATAAATTTAAAAATAATATTATGTATACTGTACATATATCATAAAAATATATCATTTTATATATATATATATCATAAAATCATCAAAAACAAAAAAAGAATAATAAAGTATGTTCAGCAGATGTTCTTATTTAAAATTCTTACCAACAGGCCGCACCTGTGTATTGTTTTCCGCTCCAACACCAATTTTTAATTCAGATTTGTTTACATCTGTGCTCTGCTGTTGATGTTCTTTCACTTTCATTTCAGTTGTGACTTAGAATACATTTTTGCCCATGTCTCTGAAGAAAATTCCCAGTGCAAGTGCTAATGCTAAGTGTAAGGCTATATCGCTAGAAGACAAGGTGGAAATTAATTATTTTATTTAGAATACTATATGTGCATATCATACTGTAATAGGCAATGGGGAGTGCTTATTTGCAGTTCATAATGTGATTATTTCAACTTAAGTCGCTTTTCGACCTAAGTCATAACCTCTGGAATGAATTAACGATGTAGAGTTAGATATACCTGTCACCAAATTCTTTGAAATAATTCTTCCGATAGAAATAAAATGATTAGAAAAAGTATTTTGCTGAATTGTTTTGAAAACTCACCATATCGCAGCAGCAGTTAATGTCACAGCTGTTCCATGTCATGTCACAAGGACAATTGGCAAAATTCTTCTTTGCTGGATTACCAATTAGTGTTGGGCGAATTTCATCAGTTGCTACAAAATTAAATAGAAAAAAAATTAGTGGTAGGTTCACTAGCACCAATACCTTTCTTTTCTTTTCTTCATTTGAATAATAATAATAATAATAATAATTAGGAATACTCATGAAAATTTCATGGTTTTTCTATTTGAATTTTCTAATGAATCTTAATTCTTAAATTAAAAAGCTATTTACGACTTCAACAACTATAAAATACCTGTGGAAATTCCTCTTTAAACATTTCACGTTTACGACATATGATCACCCAAGTTAAGCAATATTGAACCTGGTCAGTATTGAGATGGGTGTCCACTTGGGAATACTAGGTACTGTAAGCTTGGATGTACAGGTGGTGTAATGGATAATGGCTTAGATTTGTTAATCAGAGATCCGAGTTCCAATTTCAGTTGGGTTTGTTATATTCACATACACACAAATACACTTGGGAAAGGCATGAAACTACCTCTTCTCCCTCCAGCTATGAGTTAATTAGTAAGCCTTGTATCACTAAATCATTATTATCACAAAAAAATCTTACAATCTGAAAATATTTTCTGGCTTTAAATAACCTGCAAAGGGTTGATAAGCCATAGAAAATGAATCAATCATAAATATTTGAATTTAACAACTTTAACAAAATATTGCAATAATAACCATATATATGAATGCAGGTCATTATTTAAAGAAGTAAGAAGATACAAATGAAAAGGTTAAAAACTGACAAGATTTTTGTTTTCACTGAAGCAGACTTTAAATATATGAGTCTTATCAACTCTGCTATCTTCCTTTTTTTTGTTTCTTTTTCTAGTGTTTTGCTAGTGCCTTCTTTTTTTTTTTCTTTCCCTGAAATCAAACTGCCTTTGGTAAATCTTTGCTTCCATCCATCCTTGCAATCAAACAGGAATTGTTTATCTGAGATAATGACAGGTTGTAACGTATGTTCCAACTAATTAATTAAGGATGTGAATGAACAAGTCAAATTAGAATATGACAAACAAAAAGCAAAAAGAAAAATCTTAACCTCCTCAAGTCAAGAGTGAATCCTTATCTATCCTCCTTATTCTCATGAATTGTAGTGTTCCAAAAAATGCTTAGATGTAGCAAGCAAAATCTTGTCTATCACACTGACAATATCCTGTTTTTGATAATAACTGAAATGATTGAAAGTTTTTGAATAAAAATGTGATCTTTGGATAGTAATTCTAGTTCAGGTATACTACAAATTATTTCCTAACTGGAGGAATAAAATATTATAAAAATTAAACAGACGTTGTCAGTTCAATTTAACAAAACTTATTTAAATGGATTCTTGCTGCTTAAATGTACCTATAGATAGATGTGTATTGGCCTGAGTTGCAATTTGAATGAAATTGTAGAGTTCAAAAAGGAACATAATACTTACAGATAAATTGAGAATCATTGTGGTAAATAAAAGGTCCAAGTGAGACAATGACTGACAGTGTGAGTTTTCTCTTGCGGAGTACTTGAATACCTGGAGTCAGAGATGCACAGCATGTAACAGCTACTAATTCCAAAGTCGGTTCTTTAACATCAAACTGCCGTCTTAACTGTATACTTGCACCTTCAGCCTGCAACACAAATAAACCATAGATGTAAACTGATTGAGAATATGTCAGCCACTGAGAAAATAGGTGATTTTAAATTTCTTTCAAAAAATAAGTTTGTGAAATACAGCTGTTCGGTGCTTTGACATCCATCATCAGTGGTGTTTTTAGCATAGTATCATTAGGGGTTTCGGGTCTGAAAACTCATATTCCTTCTTCATGCCAACTCAGTTGATACTGGTCAGATATAGACTTGTGTACCATGACAACTATTCTCATAATATAGCCTTAATACACTGTGAATCCTCTGGGCTTTATAGTCCAATCATGAACAAATTCATAAGTTCATCAGCTTCTTTTCTTTTCCATAAAAAAGGAAGGAAACATAGTGACTGTTTATAAAGAAACTATGGTGACTCTCTCAACTTGAAGTGATAAGTAAAGATCTTTTGTTTCACTCAATGATACACACACACACACACACACATATGCATATACACATACATAAAAATATATATGCATACATATAAACCGACTTCATACAATGATAATTATACTTATCTTATTTTCAATTATTGCTAAAGAACCCTAAAAAAAAAAAAAAAAAGAAGAAAAAAAAAATACAAAAAACAATTGCCTTCCCCATGTGCCTATTTTGTGGATGAAAATAATAAAATTACCCTTGGGGAGTGGCAAACTACTTTTACATCTTAGCCAAAGATTACCAGTGGGTAAAAATAATGGCTTGGAGTACCCTAATTTTGTCCCCTAGTTAAGACTCTATTACCGGATATAGCTTTAGGTTATACCCAATACCTTCTTAACTGTAAACTTGCACCTACAGCCTGCAATACAAATAAACCATACATTTAAACCGATTGAGTGTATATCAAACAACTGAGGCAATAAAGGATTTTAAATTTCTTTACAAAAAAAAAAAAGCAATTTAAATGATTTTAATGTTTGGTTAGAAAGTTCCCTTAAGGTTACACCAATTAATTGGTTGATAGTCAATTTAATTACACTCAATAAAGATTGGAAAAAAAAAAATCAATTAAATTGTATTTACACTCATTCTCATGTGCAAATAACTGATGACTCCTAATCCAGTGAGGGAATTTCTGTGGTGTAATAGATAAGCATGAAAACTGATTAAACAACAAATTAAAAAAAAAAAAACAATAAAAAATAACAAAACTGATGATCAATTAATTGGTAAATACTGATATGATCAATTATCAGCAGATCAATCAGTGCAAATCAAATTAGAGATGAAAAAGCATAAGATCCTTAAAATGCAAATTTTGTAATTGCAAAAATCTACTTAAACACTTACAAATTTTAACAGTTAGTCTTTAAAATGAAACCAATGTAGGGCTAATGCTAGAGAATGACATGATGCGATGTGTTTTGGAACATTGTCATTATACAGACAGAAGTCTTTTAATTTAAACTGAAAGAGAAACCTTTTTAATTATTATTGTTCAATATACATCAACAACACAGATCAAGTAATTGGTAACTTTTTCAGCTGTCTGAACAATGTCAAGACTCAGTGTAAATCATCACAGGAAATCATCATCAACATCATAGGAGACCTTAGTGCCAATGTTGGAAAAGAACGAGAAGGCAAAATAATTGACAAGTTAGACTCAGTCAGTCAGTTATGTGCCATGCATGATACATGTTTAGGCGATCATGTATCTTTTGATACATGACTGACGAGGCAGATTTTTTTCCCACAGTAGGTTGCCATGTCTTTCTGCGGTAGAATAGTTGCCATCCAAGGCTATAGAACCCGGTCTGTCCTGCTTTTTATCCATAGCTGGAGGGGGAGAAGAAGAGGAATAATACTTTTTTCCAGGGTATTAGCACGTAAGTGAATGTAATGGATTCGACTGGAATTTGAACTCGGCTCTCTGATTCCTCAGTCAAAGCTGCTATCCATTACTCCACCATGCCTCCAAGTTTAGACTAGGAACCCAAAATGAATGTGGCAAAAGATGGGCCTAATAGTGCATTGCAAACAGTCCACATAGTTACAAACATCTGGTTTCAGAAGCACTTAAGATGCTTCTAGAGATGGAGAAGCCTGAGAAGAAACACAAAGAACTAGACTGATTACATAACTATCAATAAAAGGGTCAGAAAATCTATTTTACATTGTAAAACATAACCAAGGGCCAAGTTATATACTCTCTCCAAGTAAAATTATGGAAACAATAGACGAGAGCAACACCTAAACTGCAATATGACAAACTCCTGAATGACCCAAGTTGCAAGGAGATATATAGTAACAGAGTTAAAAAATAAATATAACTTGAGTGAAACTACAAAATTCAAAGTGAAACTCATTGAGGGAAGCACAAGTAATATTGGTAAATGAAACCATGCCAAGGAAAACAAGACAAAAGAAGAAAGAAAGGATGAGAGATGAAATTCTTGAGATGATGAAAAAGAGACAACAATGCCAAGGAATGAAAAAGAGCACAGAACACTACAGAAATTAGAAACAAATGTGTGCCAGCTAAAATAATCTAGATTCTGATGAATAGAGCACAAAACAGAATTAGACCAGAAATCCGATAAGAACAATGGAACTAGAAATGAAGTATTTATGATTAGAATGATACTGGAGAGAGCAATACAAAGGCAGAAGGATGTAAATAGTACAGCTACTCATATCTGACGATGATGGTTTACTAGGGTGCCTGCTCAAGCACATTTTGTGTTTGTTGAACACCCACAGAGTCCACCTGTGGTTTATACTGCAGCTATGCTGAGCACACCTTAGTTATAGTTTCTGGAAGAGTGTAAATTATCTAGGGGGTCAACAGTCTGAACAAGGCCAGAACACTCAACTCTCAGTCATGATGACTTGTGACTTCATGCTAGCATAACTATTGATGGCTACCCAATTACACTCACAGGTCTTGGGTCAACTCATGGTACGGTTTTCAAGCACTTTCTAAAGGTGCCACATGTTGGGATTGTCCCCTCCAGATCAACAACACCAAGAAGTCACCTTCCTGACAAATCACCCAAGGTGTGATTCAAACCCGGGCCTCATGATCAGAAAGTGAATGTTCTAACCACTCAGCCATATGCCCATATAGAAGGATATATGTTCATGTTTTATAGATTACACAAACTAGAACTTTTTGGGAAAGTTGTTAGAATAATCCAGAAATTATACTGGGAGTAAAATGCCTGCATATGGATAGAAAAGGAGTTGAGTAGGTATACAAAGATAGAAAGGGGATAAGGATATGTTTTCTCACTGAATTTATTCAATCTCTACAGTGAGACTTGTGGAGCAAAGACGAAAATGAGCAGCAGGATGGTCAAACAACAAACGACAAAAAAATGGTTTCTGAGTCGGAGGATTCGTGCATCCTTCCAATTAATAAATTAATCCTTTGAAAATAAATATCTAACAAATTTTCAACCAATGGGTCATTGCTGATAATAAAAAACACTGTGATCCCTTTGAAGAGTATTTAAGCAAAGCTTCTATTATGATGTATTCAGAGCTGCAGCCTGCCTGTGGTGACCAATTATAAGATGGCGTTCCGGGTCTGGTCTGCTTTGGTCACCAGGTATGGTGGTACTCAGGGTCAATGTCAGTCTGCTTGCTTGGTTGGATCGATCCTGGTATCAGAGAACAGGCTGCCAGCCCACTTGTCGGTCATTGATGGTGTTTGACACAGCAGCTGGTCTCTAAGTTGACCTCTTCAACTGTGACCTCTCTTACCCTCGTTGGGATTTTGATCTTAGGAGGGTCAAGCCGAGTTTCCACTGGGGTATCTTAACCACGCTAAACCAAAGAGTTGAATACATGCATACAAAATTGAAAAATAAAATGGACGATGCCTGAATAAGTCACAATATGATGTTTACATCAGAATAAAAAAAAATATTTACAATTCTTTTCTTCTTTGTTCTTTTTCTTCTTTTCCCAACCCATTCTAATAATTGGTGACGGAATGAGAATTGCAGGTTTTAACTTCAAGTACTATTGTTTGTACTTTCACGGTCGGCACAAGTTTATTCGTCGGAGTTTTTCTTCAGTGACAACTGGATTTAACTTCAAGTACTGTTGATTGTACTTTCACGGACGGCACAAGGTTATTCGTCGGAGTCTTTCTTCTTCAGCAGATAATTATTATTATTCTTATTATTAGGTTGGCAAGCAACGTTATATCAGAAATCTCTTTTTCCCAGTTGCAATCTCACTGTGACTGCAATGGCAACTGCAACAGGCTGGCTCCAACTGTGACTGGCCCAACTTCTCTGACTAATGGATCCCAACTCCCCCTACTGGCTGGCCCCAATTCCTCCTAATGGCTAGCCCCAACTAACTTTGGCCCACGTGGGCACTTGTATTTATGGGTGTCCCTTTCAACTGGTGTGAAATCTCCCAAAATTCAACCAGTTGTTTTCTTTCATTTTCTATTTCACATTTCCAATTTTGGAAGATCCTCACCTCCTTCGGGAGGAGACATCATATGATATCAGCCTTTCTGCTGTCATCTACTGCCTTTATTTTGTTTACAATCATAATTTTTTCTCAGGGAAATTTTGTGTCAGCTAAAATTCCCCATTGATACCTTTGAGCAGACAACTTTAACCTCTGGCCCCCGACCTGCCAGCTATGTCTAGCAAAGTCACGTTGTGTAACTTTTTTTCAACAAAATTCATACATCTATTCCCATATCCTGGGAAAATAATTCTCTTTCTGACAAAAAACTAAAATCATTGTTTTAACCCTTTTCATCCGTTTAGCCTTTTTCATCCATACAGCATGTTAACTGTTGTTACACTATACCACACAAGACAGTAAGGAAAAGCAACAGATAGCAACAGTGCGTTTGAAGAGATTCCATAACTCATTCACCCATCTCCCTCATCAAGCTACATGACACTTAGATTCTTTCTAACCAAGCTACATGAAACTTAGAATCTTCCTCACCAAGCTAAGTAACACTTATACTCTTTCTTATCAAGCTACATGACATTTACAC